GTTGCCCGTGAAGGAAGTATTATAAACGGTGTATATACGGGTCTGTACATATTGGGTCACAGTTTCGGAAGACAATACTATTGTCTCATTTCCAAAGGCCAAACGGACCGCACAAATGCTTTCTTCGGCCAGGATTTTCACCCAATGTCCTCCCCCTCTTTTTTTTTTGGTGGTGCTTTTCGATTTTCAACCAGGGCTTCCCAGAACGCCTTTCTCTTTACTTCAGCTCAGGAGTCTCGCCCTTCATCATGTCAGCGAAAACGTCGGGGAACCGTTCGCCGATGTTCTGCGCCTGCTCGGACAGGGCCCGCAAGGTTTTGTCTTCTTCGTCGCTCAACTCGACCGTGACCGCGAACAGATTCTCCCTGAGCCGAGCGGCACTCCGGGTGCCGAAGAGCACATGGACCAGCTCTCCTTGTCGCATCAACCACGCCAACACCAGTTGACTGGCGGTGAGACCCTTTTTCTCGGCCAAAGCTTTGAATTTGTTGGTCAGCTCCATGTTCTTGTCGAAGAACTCTTTCTGGAATCGGGGGACGGACGCGCGCCAGTCGTTCTGCACGTCTTCGGGGGACTTGATAGTTCCGGTCAAGAACCCGCGACCCAGAGGGCTGTATGCCACGATTGCGGTGCCGAGTTCCTTGCAGGTATTGAAGATGGGAGGGTTGCCGTTGACGCTGCGCTCGATGTCCAGAACCCAGGGAGAGTACTCGATTTGTAGGGCGGCGATGTGGTGGACTTTGGCCGCCCGCTTAAGTGTGGTGACGGTGACCTCGGAAAGGCCAATGTACTTGATTTTCCCTTCACTAAGATGATAGTTCAGTTAGCGTCGGCGCAAGATCTCTGGCTGTACCAGCAAAAATTGGCCTCACTTCTTCAGCTCCACCATGGCTTTGAGCGTTTGTTCGATTGGGGATTTCCCATCGACGCGGTGGCAGTAGTACAGGTCAATATAGTCTGTTTTCAGCTTCTTGAGGCTGCTCTCGACGGCTGATCGGACGTATTCCGGATCACTTCGTATGGTCATGCTGTTCACATCGAACGCCGCAATGCCAAACTTGGTCGTCAAGAATATGTCCTTTCGCTTCTCTGGGTTTCGTTCGAACCACTTGCCCACAAGCTCTTCGGTGTCACCGTAGACGTCGGCGTCGTCCCAATGGCGGGCACCCAGCTCGTAGGCAGCATCTAGGACTTTGAATCGCTCTTCATCATCTCCAGCAGGACCATATACCCCAGCAAGGGACATCTTTGGATGTTTCGGTTAGTTTCGTGTCGATGGAATAAGAATGAAAGGTATTCAAATGGGATGTTGGTGTCGAGAACGTGTTGGCAGGGATCGACATTTAGTCCTCGGCAACTAACAACGTACTTTCGCGTTTGACGCGAGGCTCAAAGGACTTGTGCTGGCATTAGACGACAGAAACAAGAATGCCGACTCACCAATCCAAAGGACATGGCCGGAATGTTTGGTCCTGATGCACCCAGCTGTCTGGTGGGAAGGGGGTTAGGAAGAGCCATTTTCGCTTGATGACTTGGATAGACGTCAGACTTTGTCGAACGTAAGCTGTGGCCGCGAGATAGTATCACAATGATGTCCAACCTTGATATTGAGATTTGGGACACAGGAGGGGGATTTCTCCCGCTTTAAATAAGTTTGAATGGAGAACCTTAAGGAGCACGACTGTACATTCAAACCGCGGTGGAAACAGAGTCTCCCTGGATTCAGGACTAGGTTGATGATGTCAAAATCGAGCTTGGGGTGCCATGCCAGTATACTGCCGAGAGTCGGAGATAATGGTAAGGCTCGCCATGGAGATATCAAGCTCTGGAGCTAAGCAAACAGTCTGAATACCATCACTGCTCCCTTTCACGCGAAGGTGGGGCGAGCTCAGCCGTGTAGGCATATCCTGCTCATGGTCGTTATGGCCAAGCGAATAAACGAGAGAATGGATGGCCCGATCCAGTCTCGTCAGGAAGAATACCGAGTTTGATGGCATCTCACCCGTTGGAAGTCCGTTACGTGGAGAAAGGTCTCCCGGGCCGACCAATTAGAGGCGAACATGAAATGGACGAACCCGGACGATCGAGGTCATATCACGTGAATCGTCATTTCCGTCGCGCTCTCTCGATGAAGCGAGGCTTAAACTTGCTGGCCCCTTCTCGATAGAGAGGTTGATTAGCCAACCAAGTGCGGCATCGAGCGGCATCGAGCGGACATCCTTAGCCCCACTTGACCTCGTCCAACCGAGGGCGGTAAAACTTGATGGAAAGGGAGTGCTGGTTGGGATTAGCAACTTAAGACCGGTAAGTGATTGGCGACGGTCATCAAATGTGACGGGTTCGCCTTTTAGCTCCTAGCCTGTTGGTACAAGCTGACCGGAAATAAAACCTGGTAGCTGTCCATGCATTAAACGAAACATTCTAGTACCCATTCGACCTGATGGCCGACGCACGTCCAGCCCTCATGACCCTTCAAACCACGTTCGATTCCACACTGTCCCATATTCCAGTTTCCCTCAAAACACCGCCGCAAGGGCATGTCGCTTTTTCAAATTCCAACTGGAATAGAGAGACCCCTCGTCGACTCAAGACGGGATGAAGCTCCCAGTCTAACGATGGCCGAAAAGTTTATCATCCAAGCCTTTCCACTGGTAGTGCCGCTACTTTCTTGAGAGAAGCTCTTTTCTTTGTCCGCACTTTCGATTGCCGTGGATTTGGTTCCTGAAATGTCCCGTTGGTCCGCCTGTTCAGAATCTCCGATTCCGGCCTTGAGTCCTTGGAAATGGTGTGTTCGCCAATCTCGCACATTGATTCTATCTTGGAAGAACATCTCAATCTCTATATGGCTACTCCCGGTGGTCTCCCAGACACAGAATCAGACATGGGGCATGGTGATACAAGTCGTGCCGTCGTAAACGAAACTAATCATCGGACTTAGTTTACTGTCATAGTAGATGTAGAAGTTCATCAAAACAATGGCCTAGACCGTGAAGAAGGAGACAACAGAGGTTGGCATGATATCACTGCGATTCCGGCCAACCGCCATTTCTGATGCGATTGTGAAGGTCAAAGGCCCATGTCCGAAATTGAAATTGAAGGCCGCAATGATAATGTAAGAGATAGCAACTATGGTCGTGCTGAAACTGGCTTTGGTATATGGACCGGCACCGAAGCCGCCGATAATGATGTATGTCAACAGCATTATGATTGTGGTGACTATCAGATTGGTCCGCCGAGGCGAGTTGTTACCCAGAACGACTGATATACCGACTGCGACAACCCAGAGAGTATTCGTGGTGACTGAGATCGTGCAAGCTTGTTTGATCCCGATTGACTGGGCAAATACCACCTCACAGGAGTAGAGAAATTGAACCCCATTGATTTGTTGAGCGACCATGGCACCGCATGAATAAATTACCTTTCGTGATTCTATTAGATCTTTCAATGTTGATATCCAGGATGACTGGGCGTCTCGAAATCTCTCCATTTCAACAATATGCTTAAGTCAGATTATCTATTTGTCGGGCGTGTAATTGGGCATGCTGTGTTTGATTTTCCTGAGAGCCTTGCGCGCGCTTTCAATCTTGCTCTTGCGATCATACCAAACAGGTGACTCGTATATGGAAAACAAAACTTGCAAGCATGATTAGGGGCAACAACGTAAGTAGGCCCATCGGTATTCGGAAAGAATCGGTAGAATTGATAGACTCGGTGCCTTTCGTTATCACCGATCCCTCAATGGCACACACAGAAGCACAAAAGAAGGCACATTTTCGACCGAAGTGGTCGTTGGTAGGGGCTCCGACCACATACCCGGGAGCTCGCCAACGTAGATAACGGACGAAGTTAGTGAGATGAAGGTCGTTGTTAAGGAGAGAGACCACATGGCCACCAGTATCGTCGTGGGTTGTGCTATGGTCAGCCACAAATCTCTTCATTCCAAGCAGTCCGGTGTAACAGACTTGATCGTCACCATAAAATAGTACCCCGAGGCTTAAAACAGTGCAGAGGAATATAGCCCATCATCGGTGCTCACCCCAGGTCAATGCCAAAAAGGGGCTTCGCCATATTGGCATGTAACATCTCGGAACCTGGTGAGCGGGAGAATGGTAGCACTCGGGTTGTGGATGAGGTAGAGCCTGCCACAAGCTTTGCACGAGAAGCAACCCCAACGCTCATTATGAGACACGGGTCACTCTTGTACTTGCTCGGAACTGGGACAGCAGGGAGGCGGTGAGGTGGTGGCTGTTGAATAGGAAGCAGATACGGTGTGAGGATGCCCTGACAAAACTTCCAGTAGAATACTCCTCGAAATCCTTCCATTAGCGGCCATGCCAACTCTGTCTTGGCCTGAAACGGGAAACATGGTATCGCCAGACTGGCACGTGACAGGAATCGAACAAGTGCTAAATGGTATCATTGTATTTGAAGAAATGCTTGAGGATCCATTCTATGTCCGATGGCCAACCTCGTTGCGGATTAATTCTGTGAGTACAAGCCCCAACCCGATTCAAGGCCTGGGCAAACAATGAGACAGCTATTCTTCATCCTCTTCATCCAGAGGTATTCCCGCCGTCTTCTTTCTCTGGACAATGTCTGCCCTTAGATTTTGTATCGAAGTCGCAAGTTTCCTTTTCATTATGAGGACCGTCCCTGGAGCGTTCATCTTCTCAAGTTGCTGCTTGATCTTGGTTTTGAAGTCTGCAATCACTTCTTTGGCTCGGCGCATCTGCTCGTCCTCTTCTTTCTGATCATCGTCGCGTTCTTCTTCATCGTCATCGTCGTCGTCGTCATCCTCATCGCCCTCTGCATCTTCATCACCGGAAGAGTGACCAGCACCTGAGGCTGGAGTCTGTGCAGCGGTGACCAAAGGAGATGCAGAGTTGCTGGTGACTGCAATGGACGAGTCGAATGCATCAGGAGGTTGCAGACTAGTGTGGGAGTGTATGACAGTGCCTGTTGCGGGTGCTTCGTTCTCATCACCTTCGCCTTCTGATTCCCAGTAATTTTGGAATTCATTCACCGCATCATCGTCTAGCTCATCGACAATAGGGAAATATCCGCCGTCATCGTCCTCGGCCTCTGCATCCTCATCGTCTCCTTCGTCTGAGAAGTCCTCACTAGGAGGTTGTTCAATGAGTCGTGGATCGCTGTCGTGGAGTTGAAACCGAGTCGCTGCGGCTGCCTTGTCCGCCTCCAGCAGAGCCGCTACGCGTCGCTCAACCGCCTCAATGTCGTCCACCTTGGCGCGCTTGGTTCGCGCAAATCGTCGCTTGCGAACCCATTTCATCGGTGCAGTCAATCCATGGGCGTATTGGTAGGTCTTGGGATCAACGTCTGGTGGCAATGGATAGTTTCTCGCTTCGTCGTCCGATGCACATCTTCCAAGAACTAGCAACATTTGGCAGATGTCGGTACTTTTCATCCATCCCTTCTTGTCCCAAGATTTCATGCCCTCGATGATACAAGGAAGATCCACTAGCGTCGTAGCATATCTGTTCCCCCTAATCACCATGATCCCCCTTCTTCCCAAGGTGTCCAGCATGCGCAAGGTGATTTCGGGGCCACCCTTGATACGGGGAACGCCCACCCGGCCTTCCTCTATCTGCTTGCGGAGGAAGTCGCAATCAGCACCTGGTTCCATCCGTAGAATGAACCCTTCAAGTATGACCGGGTCTTGCTCTCGATCCTCTAGTTCCGAGTCATATCCCATACCCGGGGGACGCTTTGGAATCTTGCCCTTTGATTTAAGCTTCAACACTGGTGCTGGAGTCTGAGCAGAGTTGGGGACAGAGGTGGAAGTATTCTTGAATGTGATCTTTGGCCTCGCGGACGGCTGTGATGGCGTTCCACCTTCCAGATCCAGTGGGTCTGCACCCTTTTGGATTTTACGCTTCTTGGTAGCTGAAGCTGGTGTCGCCGCATCCGATGGCTTCTTCTTTCGCTTGACTCCATTTGCGCTGGCAGGCGTTGAAGGTCCAAGGGGCGTCCCGCCCAGTTTTAGCTTGATGGAAGGGGTACGGACAGCGCTTTGAGGGTTTGGGGTCTGCGTAGCACCCTGTGTATTGTTCGCTTGGGGAATGGAAGGCTTGCTGAAGCTGAGTTTCAAGGTTGGACGTTGAGGTTTGTGCGGAGGATCGGCCATCTCGACATCGGCCTGGATGCGTGGTTTGTGGACTTCTTGGGATGCTCTAGCACCTGTTTCTATGTCAGATGATTCTGGAGATTCATTCTCTTCGTTGGAATGCGGGTGAGAGGCGGCTTCGAAGGCGGCCGGGGTGCTCTCCTCGCAGGTGGTAGAGGCAGGCGAGGCATCACGCCTGTCATCGACATCTACGAGTCTAGATTTGGCACGTCTTGCTCTGTGTTGCACCGGAATTTGGAGCCTGGGCTTTAGGCTGGGCTTGTTTGTTGGCTGGCGCGGAAGGGAGTCTGACAGGGATGGATCAAAGTCATAGTCAGGATGATTGGCGGGACGGAGTGGCGGTCCACCGCCGAGATTCAGACTACTCTGCGAATTGGCCAAATTCTTGTCCCACGCTCCCCGTGTCCTCATGCTGTCGTTATCTTCTTCCGCTTGCGCAGGGATATCTGTTTCTGGTTGGAATTGAATAGTGGAGTTAAGATATTCGTTCAGGCGCTGAGCAGAGACTTTCAGTGTGATAAAGGTACTGGCTGGGAGGTTGACAGTAGAAGTGACAATCGGCTTGGCGAGTCTGGGCTTCACTGCTGCCGTCTTTCTGGCCATCGTGCTTGCTGGGTGAGATGGACTAAGTGTTGGGTCGTGTTTGGTTGAATTGATTCTCAGTGGGAGCTCCCTCTGTGACGTAGCGCCACTGGACTCATCAGTCAATGCCTTCTCTTCCTTGTCACCTCACTTAGCGGATATCTTGCAGCAAGCGCAACGTGGTGACAATGACCTCGCCCGATCTTCAAACAGCGCTGCTGCGCCCAGCAGTTCTTCAGGTGCTTCGTGCGGCAGGATTTGGGTATTCTCGCCCTGCAGTGGTCGACACCATCACCGACCTCGCTGCGAGGTATCTGGTTCTTCTTGGTTCTTCTACGGCTCAGAATGCCTTCAATACCCACAACGATCATGTCCCGACTATTCAAGATGTGCGGCTTGCGTTGACTCAAGCCGGAGCACTGGTACCGCAGATGAGTGCCGTGGAGGAAAGCTTAAAGGGCGACGTCGAGATTGATGGGGTGATGGTTCCTTTCGAGGACTTGCGTGGAGTGCAGGGATTTGTGAACTGGGCTCATGGACCCGTCAACAAGGGAATCCGAAGAGTTGCGGGATTTGGCGACGATGCAAATGTTGAGGAAATTGCCGCTGGACTAGATGAGCAAGAAGATTATCTGACAGGTCAGTTTTGACGGGGCACAATTTTGCGAGGAGAAATGACTGACTGGTGATTGAGTGTAGCGTTAAAGAAAAAACACAGCAAGACTGGCGAAGAGTCTCGTTATCAAGGGACGTCCCTTGGGAAAGACGCTGACAGCCAAAATGTGTTGATTGTTGGTGGACCAGCAACACTTGCTGAATGGAGAAGCCAGCGATGAGGTGGCGATCGCCATCCTGTTCACTTGCAGTGGAGAGTGAATGAATGAATGTGTTCGATTGAAGGTGCTTGCTGCTTGCTGCCCTGTTGAGGAGCGAAAGCAAGGCTATTGAGACTACCATGTACCATTAGCATTGACACTGTTACTGCTGCGTCTGCCATTCATCCCCGGCAGCTCAAGCCGAATCACCAGGATCCTGGCAGAGCTTGTGATGACGATCAATCGTACAACCCAATTAATCGTGGATTCGAGCAATTCTTGTGACCAAGCCTAGCACCAGAGCAAATGGACGAGGCAGAACTGGGAAGGGCTATCAGGCACGTCTCCAGGACGTACCTACGTACCTACGTACATAGCACTGTTGAGATGGTACTTGGCACAACTCATTCCTACCTACCTAGATACATACTACGAGGAACGCTTTTCTTTCATGCATACAGTCCTGGAATTGAGCTCACGGTTAGACATCACTGAGGACACACTGGGACAGAACACTTTTCAAGTCTTGGTTCAATTTTGATGATTATTAGAACAAGAAATCACACATTCACTCACACCTTGATTCGGCCTTCAAGTTAACAACACTTGGTTCTTTTCACCACTGGTGCTGGCATTCTCCCTCATCACTGCTCTCGATTCAGTCCCACATAACACACCAACTGCACTCCTCTTGCTCTTTTCTACCCCCGCTCTCCCGCTCTTCCAACCTCCGGCATTCTGGCCCAAGCAACATGCGCTGGGATCCCTCGTCTGACCCGGCCCACAGTCAGAGCGGCGGTTGTAGTCGCATTTGCATCTTCGTTGCCGCCATTCCCACTCGGGATGATTGAGGTTGAGAATGTTGTCCCACCCACACCAGAGGACAACCATGATACCTCACTGTTGGGGCAGCTGACGGGCCTCCCAGTGGCGTTGCAGATAGTGGATGCATTAGGATTGTTGAAGTGTGTAGTAATTGTTATCTTCAAACTCGTGGCCGCATCAACACTTGTCGTCTGTGTGCTACATGTCGCATTGGTGCAAATGATGGTCTCAGTACCCGTACCAGGAACCGTGATTGGAATGGCATCAGAACGGGACAAACTAAAGAAGGTCGGGGTAGTGATAGTCGCTGAGGCTGTTGCATTCCAATCTCTCCACCCCGAAGATCCGATCTCCCATGTGCAGGACGTGATGATTCCTGTTGCAGGTGCTGCAGTCGTACTGTTCGACCAGTGAACCGATGAAGACACTGAGGCAGTACTTGAGGTACCATTGGCCGAGGAGGAAGCAATGGTTGCACTTGTGGTTGACTCCCCGCTCATGCTGAAGGACACGGAGGCAGAACCCATCGTTGATTCGGACGTGTGAGCACCATCGACAGTCCTACTAGATGTTTCACCTGAGCCCGCTGTGCTGGAGACAGATCCACTGGTCGCAATTTCAATCGAACTCAATGACGTGGACAGTTCAGTTGACCTTACTTGCTGATCTGAAGAGGAAGAAGAAGACGCAGCAGTTGAATTCAAAGCCAATAAACCACTGGAGCTCGTTGTTGCTTGCACTGGATCGAAATCTCTGGACCGACTGCTAGTGATGCTAGTCCTCTTCAACCCAGTCGTCGCAGTATTGTTGGAATTCCCAAAAGTAGGTACAGCCCCTGATGTAGTGCCTGTGGATTCTCCAGATGATGTGTCTACCGGTTCATGAAGCGTGATTGTGAGGTGTGCTGATAGGGATGTTAGATCTGTGGTAATGACGAACACGGTCTCCGTAACATCGCTCGTGTTTGCTGATGGCCAAGAAGTCTCATGGGAGATACTTGTGGTGTTGGTCCGAAATGGTCCATTCCATCCTATAGAACGACTCGAGGTCCAGTCGGACCATTGAGTGATGGTCCTCGAGGATCCTGGAACAATCGTCGATCGAAATGTGGACCAAATGGTCATTGTACTTGCATTGACCGAACTCAAACCCAAGGAAGTAGTGGTTTGCGAGGTGCCATTCGCAGTTGCCGTAGAACTAACAGAGGCATTCAATAGGCTGTTCAATGTGAAGCAACTAGAGCTTGCATACAGGGGAGAAGTTGCTGCACCTATCGTGGTCCTATTGGACCCATTTGTTGGCATCGCATCGCTAGATGTCGTCATTGGAAAAGAAGACTGACAGCCCGAAGCACCTGCAACACATGATCCGTTCCCATATCCACCCCAGCGAGGAACAGATGTGTAGCCGGTGCTTGGCCCAGTGACCATCGGGGGTCCCCGGGTATGGTTGCCATAGGTCTCTGAGAGTGTGTGATTACCACAACCACGTATAGCATAAGTTTGAGGACCTGGAGCATGTTAGGTCCGGCAGCCAGATACATAAGAAAGGGGACCGAGCCGGACAAACCTGGTAATTCGATTGCATCACCTAGCAATATGACCGCCAGAAGAGCGAAAAGAGAGCGGGTTGGCACAGCCATGATAGAAGCTTGGCTGGAATATATGGAATGAACGAAGGAATGTTAGAGACCTTAAACCATGCTCCTCTTCTCACACTTATTTATCAAGTTGATGGTGAGTTCGAGTTGTTTGATCATTGACAGCAGACTCCCGTTTCCGCAATCTCGCGTGGAAGCTATTGTCCGCTGGTAAAGCGGATAGATTCCAAAAATCAACGAGCACGCGCATTTGTGACTTCCTTGCAGCCCGCCCAACTGGAGACGGATCCGGCTGCAAAGGGCCGTGTATATAGGACCTTTAGGGTATACCGCTTGACGATGGACAGTGTAGCATCCACTTCGTGAGTTGATGTATACACGTGAACACCAATGACAGGAGGTCATAAGAAGGATATGTATTAGGTATCTGGAGCAAGATAGTCACAATTTTTTCAACATTCTGAATCTGAACAATTAGATAGATTCCCACCCAGACTGGGAACTCGTATGTGGAGGAAGTTGAATCGGCCCCTGGCATCGGGTGCGGGCCGTTTCCCGTCAGGGGGCTGATGTTGTACAGTAGAAGATCTCCTCAAGATGACAAGTCACCAGGGAGCTCAAATGTGAGACAGAGGTGCATAACTGTGCTAGTATTTGGCTTAACCGCAAAAGAGTCTTCATGATGCGATGGCCAAGGCGAGATAATGGCCATTTCACATTTTCTTATGACTGTGGTGAGTAGTAATGAGGCAGCCTTGAAGTAGTTTGCTATTCCCGCGCGACGCAAGGTTCAGTGCATCCCACTGCATGCGCATGTGACAGTAGCATTCGAATGTCCTTCTTGTGTTACGAAGGATATATAGCAACTGTTCTATCAGAGTTGACATGTTTTCCTAAGGCTTCATGATAGTTGCAACTGTCTTAGAGTAGACGCTCGATGCGAGATTACGCCCACCAGATAGATGCTAGACGTTCGTTGGTGCTCGTCACTTCTGAGCCATATTATGAACCAACCACACAATGTTAGCTCAGAAATTCACCTGATTGCAAGTCAAGTACGCCCCATCGTAAGCCATACCTAAGTAGTAATATAGCCTGACCGTGGAAGACAAAATACCGTAATTCGTGCTGGCATGCCGGAGTTTCAGGCCGCCCTGGGCCTTGCAAAGATGTTTTCTGATATGCTCCAACCCATTTGTGTAGCTGCGTTCTTGGATGGCAAGGTCTGTGAGGGAACGCGAACCGCCTGGTTCGTGGCATCGGGGGCTGAAAGATATGGCGCATCTTCGATGATGGCCTGGAACTAGAATGGTAAGATTCTCCTCGTCCATAGGAAAGGGTAGTAGTACCATCTAAAGGTCACTTGTTTATTTCAAGGGCGATTGGCCCAGTGACTAATTTGTCAACCAGATGACCTGAAGTCATCTTTTATTGAGGCATGGGACGGAAGCACTGAAATATCGCTAGGGCAAGACAGAACGTCGAAGAGTGCATCTTGAACAATGTCAGAGATTTCATCCGCCAGGGATGGCCCTTGGGATTGACTTTTTGATATCTGGTGCTGTTCCAACCTCGCATTCTGTCGGCCATAGACATGCAAAGCGAAAGTATATCGTTTCTTGAGTAAGAACCAATGGGCGAGAGCTAGTGCTCTTGAAGATCTGTCCAGCTGCATCTCTTCGGAAGATGGTTCTTCGGTGAACTTGTTACTGTACACCCCTGAGACCACTTCGATTCTTAGCATAGCATTATTTGTTTGGGCTTCCACCGATGGATCCCGTTCCCGACATGCTTGCAAGCGCATCAGGTTCAACTCCAATTCTGCGAGCCTTGCAAGGACTGAATTACTGCCGTACTGGGCTTGCCATTCCCTCATGATGTCTGAGATCAGCCTCTGACCGTCCTGGTCTCGTCCGGTGCGGGCATAGAATTGTGAGCGGCCCATTTGCTGTACGAGGGTCTGATATGCAGTCCGCCCAAAGGTCTTGGAAAGAGCATCTATTATACATTTGAAAACAAGCTCAGTGACATAAGCTCTCGGTGCGATATCAAATTCGGATTTTAAAAGGATTGAGAGTGGGTGTTGATCCCCAAGAACTACTCCAGCAATGTCGGCGACGTGAATTTTGACCTTTGTGTGCAACGAATCTGCCCCTGGCATATTTATTCCGGACGCAAGTTCCACGAGTGAGAACAATATTTCGGGATGTGAGTCTCGGAAAAGATCCGGTACAGAGTCCAGGGTACACTTGAGAACCCTGAAAGCTGCATCAACCTTCTGCAAGCTTAGCAGATCCGACACAATGTAAAAGGCTTCCCTGAAGATTTCAATGCGATTATTCTGATCATATACAGTAGGGTCCTGCTTGATCAGCACCGACCACGGGTATGTGTATTGTCCAAACATCCAATTGCACGACTGAGTGAGAACGAATTCGATTTGCAAGTCATCGCCACGAGGAATCATCTTCTGAGGAACTCCGACTCGCCATCGAAGCATTAGAGGCATCTTTTCCCGCTTTCGTCGATCTTTTTGATCTTTTTCAGTGCGATCGTTGACTGGTAGGGAGGTCTCTGTGTGAGTTGAGGAAGGCGGCGCAAGCACGTCTTCGCAACCTACAAGCGCTTGAATTGGAGGTCTATGATCGTCCGCAATCGGTTCAGGATTAGACACCTCATGACCGTAGCAAACATTGTGGTATTTAGTAATTTCTGCTAACCGTTTCTTCTTCTGGATTTCTTTCGCAACGTGGCGTTTGACACGGCTCCTGCTATGCCCGGATTGGTCCTGTACGTCGATGAACACAAGGTTGGGCATACTGATGATACAGCTGCTCAACCTGAATCAGACGTCCTCCGACAGCCCAATGTCAGGGAGGTGTAAGGAGTCTCGCGCCTCCCAAAATCGAAGCTTTCCCGAGAATATGTACTAGTAGTACTATGTAGTTATGTGGTAATGGAATGAAAAGGTGTACACTGACAGTGGTAACAATTTGAAAGGCTTGCTTTCCTTTGTGGAAGTGAGATCGAGGTAGAATTAAACTGACCAGCCAACATCCGACAAGCCTAGTCTTGGCACCTTACTTTCTTACATGGTATCTTGGTATGGGGGAAAGAGCCTAAAAAAGAAGGTGCAACCGGCAACCAGGTAGTGGAAGATTGGGAAACATGTTTAGAGAGACTTTTCGCGTGGTAAAGCGCCAAACACTACTTGGCTTACATAGGACTACTATGCAACCCTGTTTATATATACTTAGTACTTATATTACTCCTGAGTACTTAAGTCACTAGTGCTCTATACACAATTATGGACAATATATATGGTACGTACCTCGTTTAACTCGTTTAACTCGTTTAACTTTCATTGATTACTATACCTATAACAGTAGATTTTCCAATAAACCTGATGCCGCTTCCGACTATATATACTTACTTACTACGTACTATACTTAGTGCATACTTGAGAACTGACTGATAAAGTGTCCCATTACTACTGCTTTGACTAGTATATCCTGGCAGTTGAATCATAGTACAACATACTATGTAGTAAGTACATACAAGGAAGTTGTATCTACCTACTACTACTGTATAGAGGGTGAATCGGCATGTATTCTCGCCTATCCAGTAGGTCGGGTAAAGGGGCAGGCAGGGCTGCGTCGGTAGGGGTTCTCTTTTTCTCTCTCATCCAAGACCGCAGGATAAGAACCAACCAACAACAAAAACAACACAGTAGCGACCACGTGTGGAATAATACTTCTCAATAACCTGTATCGGTAAAGGGGTCAAGACTTCTCACAACAGTCGTGTATAGAACTATAGTTAGTAAGTAGCATTATTCTTGAAGGTGAAAGACATTAATTCTGCAAACTATGCTCTCATAACTGCTGTTTAATGGATAACGCATGCTTTCATGCGTTATCCTTCTCTTGCTCGTTCCTCTGTCTGTCTAGTTGCACCGTCCTCGTCTCCTTCCCTTTTCCTTTTCTTGCCAAGTATTTATTCCATGGCATTTCACTCTCCTTTGCGTCTATCTTAAGTTAGCGGAATTGGTAGTGGACCTGCTAATGTCGCACTGGTAAGGTCGTCGACATTGGTGGCTGTGTTTTGGTTGGTCAAGGCGGCAAAAGCAATGCCAAACATTCCGGGTTGTACATCTGCATGAAGTTCGCCATTTTGGAGAACGGTGACAGGAGTATATGCAGGCAGATTGTTCTGACTAAGCCAAGCCATGTAAAGAGATCCAGAGTTCCAGTCTTGTGGGAGCATGTCTGGTTGGCCGACTCTGAAGATTAATTCCCAGGGGCGTTGGGTGTGGCAAAGGAAGGATCACCATAACCGACAATGCCAAGGTCGGGAAAAACTGGTAAAGAGGCAACTGCCTGGGGAAGGTTTGAGCATGAGCCTGCCATGACAAAATCCAATGCCAAATTGTAAGCCCAGATGCCACTGATAGGCGTCTCAAATGTGGTAGGGTTTGGAATTTCGTTCGCAGTGATACGAAAGAACGCATCATGCCTTGATTCAACAGGGAGAATATACCCAATGGTTGCTTCGATTGTGGGATCAGACAGTGCCAGTGCACTCTGGAGACCAACTAAAGCACCAATGCCAACGGTAGTGATGATATTTCCAAGGGCAAAGAAACTACTTTGATCCGTGACAGGAAAAATATATTGACAGGGCGCCACATCTTGTACACCAAATGATTTCCACGCAACAAGGAAACTATTGCTGCCACATGAATTTCTTCCTTGGCCGCAATGTGCTAGATAACATCGATGTTGTTTATCCCATTTGTTTGACTTCCAGTACCCCACTGGCTTAAGTTGAACAAGCCTTCTTGGAAAAAAGCAGATTCAAGGTTTTCGAGGAAGTTTGCCACTTGGAAGTTGGAAAGCCCGTTTTGTAAGACCCGAGGACTGCCTGGTTGGTTCGGAAGACCACCGCCCGCCTGATGGGCGATATTTGGCGGAAGGGCAGTACCCGTAATAAGAGCAGGCACGGCGCCTGCTGTTCTTGCGAGGATTACAAATGTCACTGAGACCAAGAACCAGGCCATGTTAATCGCTAGATAACGGACCCAAGTTGAGAGAAAGACAGAGCGAGGGATCGAAGTGAACAGACATCTGGAGAGCAGAGAGGACATTTCTATCTATACCAACTGCACCACGCCTTCTCTTGAAGGTTCGACATGGGTCTTTGGCTGAGATGATAAGCACTAACATAGAGAAAGACAATCCTGGAGTGATACTTAAGTGGTCAATAGGCAATCACTGTTGGTATCAGGCCGCCGGCTCACAACAGAGTAGGCGATGATTCAATTGATGGAAACCGTCCAGAGATACCCAACCGGTATGATGGCCCAGGATATGCCTGATTATTTCCACACTTACGTGCTAAATATCTTTTGTAGTTGGCAAACCGGTTCCGTGATGACTGGGTTTACGAATCAGGAAGGTAATTGTTCCCGTAATCAGTGATGTTCTCTCACCAAGAATTTTCAGCTAGACCGTCGTAAGCGAAGAATAGGCTTCGAGACAAGCTTCAGTAAGCACCTGATCTGAAAGCTTCAGCTCAACTCCAGGAGATCAAGGCACAGTCAGCAACGTAAATTTAGAATGCAAGTAATAAAATGGTGACACGCCCACGAATGGTAGCTAAAAGTGTCAGCAATACGGACTCGTGGAAGAGGAGGTTAGCCGAATGTCCATGCAGAGTCACGTGAGCTGCCTTACACTCTAGTGCTGCATTTGAGCCTATGATCCGCCGTGTAAATCTATGACGCGCTAGCTAGCAGCTCGCCTCGAAAGAAAGAGGAAGCGAGGCCAAAAGTTGTCGCCATTGTAGAGTGCTCTTGAACCATACTTACAGTCCACTCATTGGAGAATCACCATGAACTCCTCTAGCTTGTGCTCGCAATGCCTACGAGTACTCCAGCATAACATTCGTGCAGGCGTATGTCTCTCCTAAGTCCTTGGTTTTGAGCTAACAGGTTCCCTCCAACAGTCGCGAACCACTTCCCGACGCACCTTCTCCAGTAACCTGCGAAACTTCGAGCAGCAAGTTGCTACCAGGAAATCTCCAGCCAGATCAAACCCCCCACCATCTATTCCTCCAACGACCTTTACTAGCATAACAAATGTGACTAGACCTGAACCTACGGCCTTGCAACCTGGATCAAAGTCCTCTCCACAAAATGCGACTTTACAGGAACCCAGTGGAGATGTCGTCTCATCAGCGACTGTGTCACAAATGCAAAAACAAATCAAGTTGGGGCTACGAAGCGACACTCTCACCACCCGTCTAGCTAAGGGCCTCCGCAAATCCGCGAAATCCACCACCGAATCCTACATAGTCTATGGAGAAACAGAGGCAATTTTCAAGGCCTGTGCCAGTCAGGCAGACTATACCATACCTGAGGACCAGCGTATGTCGATATTGACTGGCAAAGGACCACCCAAGACTGCGGACGGGGCAGACCTAGGTCACGCTATTGCCAAGTCGTGGTGGTATGACACCATTGGTCTCGAACCTACTTTCGCCAGTTGGTCCCAGGTGACCTACTTACACATGTACATCATCACGTTGCGATTGCGGAACCTGGAGACCGCAGATGCATGCCGTAATTATCAACGATACCTGACCGAGCATTTCTCTCACGCGGCGGAAGATAAGATGGTACTACTGCACAACATGTCCGCGCGAAGTATTCGGAATAAGTACCTCAAAGACCTATTCTTGCAATGGCGAGGCATTATCACAGCCTACGACGAGGGCATCATCAAGGGAGACGCCGTGCTGGGAGGTGCAATCTGGCGAAACTTGTTCCGAGGTGATGAGAATGTCGATTGGGAAAAAGTTGCACAGGTCGTGGCTTTCCTTCGTAGAGCTGTTCAGACCTTCGGCAATCAACCAATTCACAACATTGTCATGAACTCTGAGGGTCCCAAGGGACTGTGGGCACAGACCCATTCTTAAACAACGGTGGGAGTTAGCTGCATGCTTGACGGCTGTGTCCCAATCTTGAGATTATTTTAATATACATTCAACGAGATTATGTGTTTCTATAACATCAGCAGGAATTGTTGAATGCTGGATTCTTATGATGACGGTGGAATCCAAAAACTTGTTTTTTGTGTCAACAGCCTTGGGTCAAAGGGAGGGCGAAAAGATTTCAACTCAAGCTGGTACAACCTGTACTACAAAGACTGCAATGGTGTTAAAAGGAAGGCGATAATACTTCTTCTAAGTACGCTACATCCTTCAATCCCTACATCATTTGTGTTAATAGGCATGCCTGTAGTTCCTATTGAGACCCTGATGTATGACCTATAGTGTGATACAACGTAAAAATGAAAGCTCAAGGCCAGTGGACTCAAAAAGGTCCTATTCCGATACTCCCGAAAACAAGGGAACAATGGAGGAGCAGACAGGTCCATGTAGGTACTATGCTCTAGTGTGGTGTAAATTGCTAGTCGTCTTTGCCGTCATGAATTCTGCGACAAATGCAGGTATCAAATTCGAAAAGCAAGTCGTAGAATCTGGGACAACGAAAGTTGTTGTTGCAAAGCATCAGCTCCGGATAGTTGCTGGTGTCCGGATCAGCGACTGTCAAAGTAGCCTCTTTGATCGTTGTTGGAATGACAAGGCCAATGTCATCTGGTTGCCCTTCCGGGTTTCGACCGTGAAGATTGGGTACGGCTGGGGTGGTAGTTGGAGCCGATGCCTTCATATGATTGCCACCGTCGTCCTTGAATGGAAAAGTTGGAGTTCCAGTCATTGCTATTTCGACGACAATTCGGTCTGCAGGAATGCCGTCAGCATGGATATATCTCACAACTCGAGACAATGCAGCGGGACCCGATGTACCTGGAGCGTTTGCAGCGAGAGCAGCCGCATGAGCACAGTCATGATTCAGATCCTCCCGGAAGTGGACGTCGCCGACAGTCTCCAAGTTTGGAGAGGGAAATGCCGTGACACCCATCCGCAGGGCCACCAGATACATTAACATACAGGACGTCAGCATTTTGACCGCAGGTATCTTGGTCAAATGTCAAGGAGAAGAAATCTGTATTGAGGAGAGCAGTGATGGGAGTCTTTCAATGTGCCAGAGTTGCCACCCTTGGTGGTGCAAGTCTCAGGATTTGGAAGGAAAGAACCATCTTTCCGAGCACAACCCCCAGTAGACAAGTCCTCCAGTTTTGTGTCACCCAACCGAGGCCCGAGGCGGTCAGAACAGGGCCAATTGTTGAACCAACACCCTCCGAACGGAAGCGATATCGATATTTTGACAGATGGGAAGGTGCCCGTACACTGGTTGCTGAGAGGACAGGGCAAGAACGTTCACTCGGAGTGTCCCAGAAACCCTGCTAGAAGGAGGCCAGTTCTTGTTCTTGTCAGAGGCAGAATGGCCCAATCTTCTGCCACTCATGGAACTCCTACAGCAGGCCGACCATGAAATCGCAGTCTCGAAATGAGCGCCTCGCACTGATTGCATCATCATCGAATTGAAAGCTCACCGGTTACAGGTATCGAGATGGGACAACGGTCATTTTCTCGATCCTTGCCAGGGAATCTTCCATGGTAAGACATTACCAGATCAGCCTCTCACTCAACCGTGACTATTGTGTCAATTGGTTATGGAATCAAGATATATCATCAGGAATGATAGTTGCTGAGTCGGCTTCTTGCCCATCTCCCTCCCCATCATTGGTTCACGAGGTGCGTCAAATAAGGCTTTCGGCGGTATGTAGTCTGAGGACAGTATTTATGAATGGTAAATCTTGCTGTCCACACACACGTCCTCTCCAAAAGTACTTGGGTACGGCTCCCTTGCCTCTGACGACCAGTCCTATCTTCGGCTGGATTCGCTTTGGCGACCCCATGGGAGCTCGTCGGGACAGTAAGCCGCTAGGCATGCTCCGAAATTCACAATACGTCTGAGCAATACGGGTCCAAAAACATTCCAATGCAAGGAGCCAAACTTATAAGAAAGTAGTCAAAACCTCCGAAAAGGCTTCGCTACGGTGGAGTATGCGGCCAAAGTATGCTGCCAAGCCTCTCACTGGAAGTTGACATGTGGCCGCTCTTGAACTTTTTGGTTGATAGAGTGATTCGACTCCTGATCTTCGATTGGATTACAACCCACGCACTTTGATTGTCGCGTCTTAGAAGTTGAGAGTGTTATCCTGTCAACTCTATCCCATTACCCATGCATGATGCTCCAACAGTATTGAAACCCCCCTCAATTCTCTTCAAGACTACATCGGGCCTCGACGCCGCTTGCGCAGGACTGACTCTCGTTCGAAATGTTACTCCTACGGCTGATCTCCAACCTTCTCCCAATCCTCGTTCTGCTTACCTGTTCGCTAGCAGCTGAGGATCTCTACAGGATTCTTGGAGTCGACAGATCTGCCTCAGATCGTGATATAAAAAAGGCATACCGCACCCTCTCTAAGAAATATCATCCAGACAAGGCCACAGGAGACGAGAAGAAGTTTCTCGAGGTCACAGAAGCCTACGATGCCCTATCCGATCCTACGAGTCGCAAGATCTACGATCAATACGGACATGACGGCCTTAACAATCACAAGCGAGGCGGAGGCGCACAACACCACGATCCCTTTGACATATTCGGAAAGTTCTTCGGAGGCGGGGGCCATTTTGGAGGAGGCGGAGGGAGTGGTGTGAGACGTGGACCAGACATGGAAGTCCAACTTAATGTGCCACTCCAAGACTTCTACAATGGCAAAGATATTGAATTTACTATTGAAAAGCAGTTGATCTGCGAAACTTGTGAGGGATCCGGTTCTGCCGATGGCCAAGTGGAAACCTGTGGCCAATGTGGGGGTCGTGGAATCGTCATAAAGAAGCACATGCTAGCCCCGGGCATCTTCCAACAGGTCCAAATGGCCTGTGATCAATGTGGAGGACAAGGCAAAACCATCAAGCATAAGTGCAAAGTTTGTGGAGGGAGCAAAGTGGTTCGGGGTCCCATAACCTTGACAGCAAGCATTGAAAAGGGCATGCCTAAAGGACACCGAATCACCTTCGAAAGCGAAGCTGATGAACATCCTGATCACGTTGCTGGTAACCTCTATGCACATTTAGCAGAGGCAGCCCCGTCCTTGCACGAAGATCACAACCAGAGAACGGACGGTGCATTTTTCCGCCGCAAGGACAACGATCTCTACTGGAATGAGGTTTTGTCCCTGCGAGAGGCCTGGATGGGGGGCTGGACGCGGAATTTGACTCATCTTGATGGGCATGTTGTTCAACTCTCCCGGCAAAAGGGCGAAGTGGTACAGCCTAATCAAGTCGACTCAGTCGAGGGCGAGGGCATGCCGATTTATCATGACGGTCACGTTCACGAGCACGATCATGATCACGAAGAGCATGGCAAATTGTACGTCAAGTACACAGTTGTCTTGCCGGATCAAATGGACAGCGGCATGGCGAAGGATTTCTGGGCACTGTGGGAGAAATGGCGCAAGAAGAAAGGGATCGATTTACTCAAGGATAGTGGAAGACCACTTCCTGTTGTACCACCAAAGGATGAATTATAGACTAGCAATCTACCAGGGTTTGCAATAGACGCTGTACTCCCGCTTTCCCAGAGCATCGACTTGGTTTCAGCCGTGTCTGATCCAATCCCTCAGAGGGGAAACTGCTCCACATCGCCGTTTAGCGGCAAGCTCAGCCTTGTGATTATGTAAAATGCCATGCCCCTGTTTCCATGCTCAAATCAAACCAGCCAATCTATCCTAAACCGCGGATATCAACCATAAAGCTAGTTGATTTAATGGTTATGCCTGAGGATCAATATAGTTTGACTCGAAATGATAAGATGTGTCCCCTTCCGAACACACTACCTACCGGCGACCGCGGCCAGCATCCTCGCGCGGGACATATTTCCACTGGGGCCCATCCCTGTAACTGTCCGGCTCTCGACAGAGATGATCATCATTCGCATACCTTTGATCACTTCGCAGGTGCCCAGGGCTTGATGTGCTGTAAGCAAAGTCACGATGAGCCACTCCGTGCCGGTCGAGGTCACGCACAGCAGCACGATTGCCTTTCGCAGTTCTTTCCCTGTCCTCCAGGTCGTGGGGATTGTTGGAGTATTTGCCCGATCGTTTGTTCAATGACCACTTCCGTTCTGATTGAAGTGCGTCCGCATCGACATAGTAGTGTGAGTACTCTTTACGTCGGTTCTTTGTCTTTGCCCGTTCGTGGTCATGTTCTGTCGGGACGAACTCGTTGGGCTCGTCATCAGGGTCGCATGCTGCACGAGAGTGGGATCGTCCTCTTTCTTGAATCCTTTCGTTTTCATCGCGGATTTCACTGTCGCGACGTCTATCCCGAGACCCGTGATTGCTTTTCTCCCTGTCTGAGGGCATGGCGGATATTAGAGGCGCTGGAAGATGAGTCGACTGGTTGAACGGGTGAGACAGCCTAACTAGTGGTACACTGCAGGTGGCTTTGATATCTTCTCTTCTTGCCTATGGGTACGTTTGGAAAGGATTGGGCTCCAAAATATCGAGACATTTTATATGTATCCGTTTGGTATCACTCATTCTGTGTGACAGCGCAGGCAGGGACCTCATTGTGACATGACTTTCCACCCAACAAACGCAAAGCAGCTGACTGAAGTCTGAGTTTGCTGTAGTGGCTGCTGAAGCAATCCCACCACAGCAATATTTTGGTTTCATTTTGGACTGTCTGCCAATTTCTGATTGATCGATGTCTGATCAAGTGCGGTGGTAGTCTTGAGTCGAGGTGGAAATGGGACAAACTGCGACACTTTACGACATAGCTACTTTGTAGAAAAATGCAGGTCACTCAGAGTTCAATAGGTTTCATTCGCTACTTCGCAGTGAATGACATGCTCGTAGTGCTAAGTATGTACCGGTAAGATCATATCCCCCGTCCGACCGAAGGGTATGTACTATGTTTGTATTTGGCATGCTATAGCCGCCCAATTTGTTGCTACCCATATTCAATAATAGTTCTCGAAGCTGCCCACAGGTAATGTTGAAGATCGCAGTGAGATTGATACTAGAAACGAGGCCCTAATACCTCTTGTCAGATCTAGACGACCAGTGCTTGGGTTCGTCTTTGGCGTACGCAAAATCCCGCCCTGCTATCTTATTCTGCTCCCTGTCTTTGGCGGCAGTATCGTTGCCGAAACTGCTGTTGATCTTTTTAACTAGATCCGAGCCATAACGGGACGGGGGGTAGGAAATCTCCTCCCGTTGCGTCTCATGGAATATAATTTCGTTTTCAGAAGCTCCTTCCCGGGGATATCTTTTAGGAAACCACTTCTTCATTTCACCCGTGTTGTGGGTCAGATGTACGGTCTTGAACCGATTATCATGATCACCATCACCAGGCATGATCGCTGAGAGTAGTTAGTAAACTTGGGAAGTATGTCTCGCAAATCGGGGGCTTTTCTGGCTTCATATACTGTATGTTTGGGTTCGTGTATGGGAACGAGATGAGCATTGGGAGAGTAGTGATCTAAAAGTTTGTCGCTTTTGTACATACCCATACAGTCAACCATAACCTACATGCGTGGTATACTTGTATCACCTATACTACCAGTTCAGTCATCACTGTAGCAAACGGAGGGTCAGAGTTAGCCCGGAGAGGTGGAGTTCGTGTGACTGACAGGTGGCTATGTGACAATGGGAGGCTAGCAAGGGCAAGACCTCACTCTCATCGCACAAGGCTTGGGTTGGGGGACACTGTTGGAGATTTGCGATCATTCCTTTAGAATGCGGTGAAATGTGCGTTCAAACAGTATTCAGTATTTGGCAATTGGGATCACAATTCAAGACATTCGAGGTGGTGGCTAATTGTTGTTCCTCGTGGCCCTAGTTAAGCACTTTAATATAATCACGGACATCGATTGGGCGACTGGGCAGTAATCTTCGCTTGAGATTTATGAATACCTGGTTCCACATTTACCTATATACAACGCACTATGTCAAAACTATATGGGGTATCAATGCTGGTCGTCCAGAATTGTGGAAGCTCTCGTTCCTTGCCAGCAAAAAGCACAGAAAGTGAATAACCCGTGAATGCCACCATGGATAGAGCCATATCAGCTCTGGTATGAGAACTTGCTGAACTACCACTCTTCATCTCGCCCCTTGCCCTTTCTCTCCCTGTTCCAACGCGTGATAGCGTCTCGGTCAAGAGATGGTCTTCGATTGGGGTTTCCCGGCTGGTGATGTCTGTGGTCATTCTCAGGGTAGGCGAAGTCTCTCACCTGGACTCTGTGCCGCCCTGAGCTGGCCATGTGGGCTTCGCTCTCCCTCGAGAGTTTTCCGGCACGTATCTCGTTCAGGGCGAACAGCTCATCATTTCCATCCGTTCTCGTGTTTCGACGTGTTAATGCTGCATTCAGGAAGTCCCTGTCCCTGGCATCATTCGGCGGATAGATTTCGGTGCCGGCATACTCTCGCTGTATCGCTTTGGTGGAATGTGTTTCGTGATAGTGCTCACGTTTGAGTTGTCGCTCACGTTCATGCTCATCCTCTCGCTCACGGTCCTCCCTTCTACGATCATCGTAATCATGGCGCTGACAAGTGTGGTCGCGGTTGTCGTCTTCAAAATCAATTTCCTCAGATATGTAGTGCGAGCCCCGTGCAGTATCGAAACGTCTTTCCTCATCCTTGCGGGAGGAGTGCGACATCTTATGAGAAGATCCTCTAGTATGATTCTGAGGAAGGGGTTCTTTGGTAATAATGATAAACGTGGAAATGGCGAATTCTGAACTTGCTTCCCGAATATTGCTGGCTTGAGCACAAAACATGTCAAGACTCCTGGCACTTGCTGAAAAATTTATAGCCTGCAAGCTGCTTTGGAATTGCTTCATGACTGTGTCTGCGTCTGAGTCCCGTTTATGCCTGTGTTTGGGTTCAGACTCAGTAAGTGCGATGAGCAAACAATTAAACAACCAGAGGGACTCCATTGGCCCCTTTCCTGATCTCAGACCGCCGATTGTGAGAATCTGTTTGCTCACTAAGTCACTATGACAGTAGCATCGACAATGAGTTGCGGACTGCTTATCACATCAATAAACCAAACCACGCGTGGGTATATCAGCCATCGATGCGTTCTAAACGTTTCGCTGACTACGGAAAATCGTCTCATTTCCTCATAGTTACACAGACCTCGGCGTTTGTTCGACTACTGACGCATTAACGAGAGTGAGGCGCGAAAAGTCCGTAGGACAATATCTGTGACAGTTCGGGACATTATGACCGAACGGGCCAATTACAGTTCTGTTCCAAATCCGAAGTAGACCTTCCAGTAAGGCACCTCTGAGAAAGAATGCAAGAACAGTTTAAACATCAAAGTTGCCCGATTGTGATACTATGTATTTGGCACTTGGCTCGGTAATTGTGTTCTTGGCACTAAAAAGGAGTTAGACTTGGCATGACGAGGCTTTGGCAAAAAGGGGAGGAGTTCGTCTGGTGCCCGGGTACTATGTAATCAACCGAATAACAGCATATTGACTACGCAAATGATTTATACCACTCCTCCGTCCATTGGAAACAAAAGGACTGATAATATACATAGTATTGTGTGAACAGCTTGTATTCTAGCGGTCTCCAGGTCGTGTTGCTTGCTTGACTAGCAACATTTGGATTGCCTGGTCAATGCAACCTGATAGGAGCGCCAGCAGCCACGCCCTGGACTTCCATCTTACCCGGAGGAGAATCTTGACTTCTCCATAGTCCATTTCATTTTCCAGCCTTGAGAACCCGCTGGTTAGTCCCAAGCCCAAACCAAGCATCTCCAGGTTGTGGCTGTGCAAAGCTGCGACACGAATTGGCAAGCCCTGAGGCGTGTCGTGGGCAGCGTGGGTAGTATTGTGCAAAGGTCTCGCTCCCTTGGTCAAACAGGCCGCAGCCGGAGACACAAAGAACTCCCATCAACACTGCAATCTTTGTCACTCGCCGATTTACTATAATGCTCGACCTTCCCACGAGCTATTGTTAAGTCGCCGCCAGGTTGCTTCCACAACATCAAAGTCCTCCGGTATTCACTAGAGCTCCAACTTCCTTACAACGACTATTCCTATCGTCATCATACGCTAGTGGTGGTAGGCCCGAAACAGTGGACCTAGGGCTATAGTGAGGGTGAAAAATTAGCTTCTCCTTCTCGCCCGACTCATCTTCAAGCATTCAGCCATTTGTACCATCTAGCTGATAGATTGCCTTACAGTAATCATTGACAACGTTGAGTTTGGATGATGTGTTCGATGGAATGATGCTGTCAAACATGGCTTTGATTGAGGAGAGTAGAGCCTACCCAGATGTGTCCGTCAGCTAAAGCGGCACCCATAGAATGTTGTGTCGGGATGGGTGGAGCTTTCCCAGGGTGATTGAGCCTCACCCAACACATATATAGACATACCCCACCTGCAGGTTAGGCACAGAACATGACAGATTAGCAGGTATTGAGTGGTACGGCCATTGGGTTTAGATTTCCTCATCCGTTAATGGAACGCTGAAATAACCGTACTAGCCGTGCTCAATCTGACGAAGCTAGGTTTTGTTTACGTGTACCGAGTAATAACCCACTGGCTACCTAACAACGCCATAGAAACCTTCCTAAGTTTCTGAACTTTGTCTTTTCGCTTCTTTCGCTTTCCTCGCTCTCTTTCATGGCACTGTATTTGGTCCAATCATGACCCGCTACTGATCCGAGCTCCACCCTGTCATATTGGTGAGTCATACTTGCCCATAGGTACAGAGTATTGCCAGGTAGAAATTATCTGGTTGACGTTGAGATCTGGCAGATCGATCAAACTTAATCTTGGAAAAGAATCCACTTCGTGTATGGAGTCTCATCGGCGACGCCCGAGACTATAACCTTTGCTAGGATGCTGGAGAGAAAGAAAGGTGGGTTCATTAGCTAGTAGCGATTGGTGAATAATGGATAGGGTGGCAATCAAAGACGCCTGGGTATTCTAACTTCTGCTGGCATCAATTACAGTAATTGTCGGTCGCTCTCTAACAATTCCATGTGCTTACCCACCATCCCTCGATGCAGCTTCTTTGTGTAGCATCGGATACAATTTAGATCGTGGTCATCTCATAGTGTCCATCAAATCATAGAAGTGGTTCTTTCATTCCAGTGGGAAGCATTGAGACAGCCTAGTGATGGGATCGGTGACACGGAACATAGTTATTGCGAGCCGCCCCTTCGGGCTGACTCCTGTATCCAGCCCCCGAAGCTAAAGAACGCTAGGGAGAGCTCGAGACGCACGCTTAAAGGGACCTCACTTCACCTCTCCCTCAAGCACGACTTGTCGAGGTAATTGATATGTGTTTCCTCTTCAGTCCTTCTGGCTGATTCAAAGTTGGAATCCCGGATTCTGCCATACGCTTATGGAAGATAGGTTTACGTGATTTTAAACTAGCTGATTCAGTCTCCGGCGATCGGACGACCTGGCTCGTAGAATCAAGATTCACACTGTCGACAGGAACACCCACGTCTCACCGAAAACTATGCTGCATGATGCTGCCTAGTTTCATGTGGAACCGAATCATCGGTCAGCTGGCAGAATTTTGGCAGGAAACTGCACACTTCAGGAAACCACCGTGTACGATCCACTCGTACTCCATCGATTCACTCTATGGGCGGAAAAATCTAAATCCCAACAAAAATAATCCCGTCTAAGATGGCTGGTCCAATCGTGGGTGAACCGATATCGCTGCTCAGTTGTCAACCCTTTGAGAGAGGATATACACACAAGCTCAGCGACGCCGAGACAGACCTTCCGTGCCTCAGCAGAGGCGCTTTCTCCCAGATGCGATTCAACAGAAATGATGCTGCCAAATTCTGCCCAGTATGTGGACCACAATTGCTGCTCATCTGGTCGGAGCCCGGGAGAGACTGTCGATAAGTTTGAAGATATTGTGACTTGGACGCCGATCTTGACGCTTGACTGACGTTTCGTGGTTCCGCAGTGGACTCTTCCCTTCTTCCCTCTTTTACTCCTTCATCTTTTTTGCATTGCTCAAAGTATCCATAATTTCTGATAGGAATACGTTTGCATCGAACAGGTAGCCTCCTAGCCTTCAACAAGGTCCCGCCAGAACCCAAAGTCAATCCTCAAAGACCCATATCTCTGACACGGATTGGTCTTCACAAGGGCGGAAGTGGGCGTTTACATCTGAGATCTAACAAAAGTTAATCGAGATTCGATGAACTTGAGCACTCTGCAGCGAATGGCGGCGAAGCTCGACTCGTTGGCTTTACGGATGCATCTTCAGAATCTTGGTTCGCGATCCACTTGCTGTTCAGCCGCTCCACTACTGTCGAACTCTATCTACCAGAGACTCTCGAGTCAGAGTCATGACTCACAGCAGTAAGAAGACAAAGATCTCTTACTATTCAGTGCTGCCTCTGACGGTTGGTCGCAAGCTCAGCAGTTTCCATAAATACCTGGTTCCCCCCCCTTCCTCTTTCCTTCCTTTTTTCTTTCTTCAGATTACATTACACACAACCAACAGCATTTACGTTAACCACTCACCATGGGTTTATGTTGCAGTAAGCGCAGCATTGTTGAGGAGACTCCTCGAGCTGCTCGGGTGGTTCAGCTTCCACCACCTTCGCGACCTGCCGTGAAGCGGCAACAATCTCCTGTTTGGGTGAATCCCAGCCGGGATCACTTGAGCTGCATTTCGTCCTTGTATTTGGACGGTCCTCCTTCGGTGCGTTCTGCACCTGACCACCCAAAGCTCCGTTACCGGAGCCCTTGGTGTGAGACGGTTGCAGACGGTTCTGTTGGTTAGAACCGTCTAATTGCATAGCGGGATGTTGTGACAGTGATCCCGGTGATCCTTCGTCAGAAAGCTTCAAAAGGTGAACCAAGGATCAGTAGCCTCTGTGCGAACAACTTGAGGAGTCCTGGAGGGCCCAATGGCAAAAATCAGGGATTTGCTTGAACAGAGGTTGTTTCCCTTTTGCGTGTGGTGAGCAAGGTGTGGTTGCTGGGGTCGGAAATGGCCTCCGTCAAGGTCTTTGGCTTGTCCAAGGCCTTGGAGGAGGTTAAACATCTTCCTTGGTCCGAGTTGCTCAGTGATTATTCGAAACATTCTGTCTTATTGAGGTTGTTTGTAATGGAATCTCCCCCGAGTCTATATGAACAGAGCAGAACGCACTTAGTCCGAAAAAGTGTCAGTATGAGTAGTATAGCCTCAAATCCTTTCCTCCGAAGCTGTGTGAAACAGAGCAGAAAGCACTTAGTCCGAAAAAGTGTCAGTATGAGTAGCACAGCTTCAAATCCTTTCTTCCGAGTCTGTGTGAAACAGAGCAGAAAGCACTTAGTCCGAAAAAGTGTCAGTATGAGTAGCACA